AAACGTGTGTAGTATTTGGGTGGGAGGAGAAGAATACCGAATGTACCGGAATTTTCTACGTTTTCGCAATTCTTTGGCCAATAGAACGACGTGCACCTGTCTGTACTCTCGCGCGCACTATAGGTTACGTTAATGCAGAGGAAGGGGGGAAAAGCAATTTTCGGGAGTATGATTCACCATCCGACGTTGCATGTAAGGAAGAAAAGTTGTTTATTTAGTTTCGGCTTTGGTACGGGGGAAAAAATGCGCGTTCATTAAAAACAAAGGATTAAAAAAAAAAAAAAAAAAAAAGCACTAAAAGCAAAAAATAAGCACTAAAAACAAAAAAATAAGGGCTTTAAAGAAAAAGTAAGCATCTATAAGGGCCTTTATATTTTATTTTCAAATATAAGGACTTATAAGCACTTGTAAGGACCACTACGAACCCTGGACTACCAGCTACCAAAAAGTGAAACAACTTTTACAACAGTTACTTGGTTGACATTTTCCTTTTCGGTTGTCTGCTCCTTAATCATCAGCTCCACACATTGAATGTCAGATCATGAATATACACATTTTTCCGCTTTCATTTACATCCATTTTCTATGTTATTTCTCTTTGTTTTAACTATGTTAAAAGATGTACATTCTGTATAATGCATACATAAGAACTAGTCTGTAAAAGCCATAACTTCATCTTCTCAACACTAAACAACTGCCAAATGTATAAATGTATTTTACTTAAAGTGAGAATTTAGCATATTCATGAATTTTAACATGGAAGTAAAGATATCTACCACTGTTTTTGCTTGTGTATTTAGAAATTTTAAAATACACTTTCATTTCATTCTATTTTACAATAGTCCAATTCATATAAGCAAACTGCCCACCAGTAGTCGAGTGGTAAAGTCACTGAACACTGGTAGTTCGGTCTGATGTTTGAATCCTGTGAAAGGATCCTACATGGATGTTTTTGTGGATTTCACCATGTGTAACATGTATACAAGCCAGTTTCCCTTAGATTCTCCTCCATGAAGACATTCCTCCCCTTAGGTAGATAGCCGAGGCTTTGTCATAAACTAAGAAATCAAACCATATACATACCTGCCAACTTTTATGAATTTTTCATAATTTTTACGAAAATGCGTTTGTCTTTACGATTTTACGATCGTTATCCATTTTTTACGATTTTTTTCCTTTTCGAGTGTTTTTGGTGATTTTGTCAAAATTTTACAATTTTTCGCCAATTCAGCGATTTTCGCTAATTGCATCGTGTTTTACCGCCAGCTCGCCGCTTAACCAGCCAATCCAATGCGCTGAACTTGTTTCTCCGACTCTTTTCTTTGTGGGCGCCAGATTATTTTTTTAGCGTGGATTGTCGCATTCTGTTTTTTTTTTTTTTTTTGTTTGCACGAACTACGAATTTTCTTAATACGTCATTGTTACGAAATGAGTTAAAAAAAAACCGTATTCTCAATATTTTCGGCCTGCCTACAAAGCCGAATTTCCAACAATTAAAGAATCCTTCAAAAACGTGTGCGTGTGTGACTTCATAATAAGTCACGGTGGAAGAAGCGACATTGTGAAGCATATTAGTCTAAAAAGCATGAAGTTAATGCTTCGGCTTCGACAACATCAAAGAAAGTGGATGATTTTTTTTCAAATTCTGCTACGAATTCGGATGCCGATGTCATTTTGGCAGAGTGTTTATTTACACAGTTTGAAGACTTTGCCAGTTCTGGAGAAGATAGACTTGATGTCCTCATTGGTACCTTAAAAAGAATAAAAAGAGCTGATGGAACACCAAAATATGATAGACTAGTAAGAGTTTTATGTGCTATTCTCGTAATTCCACACAGTACTGCTGAGTGCGAGAGAGTCTTCAGTGTTGTGAAGAAAAACAAAACTATGTTTCCTTCTTCGATTTCACCAAAAACTCTAGAAAACATTTTAATTGCTAAATGTTATGAGGAAACTAATTGTTATGACAGGAAATTTTCCAAAGAATTTTTGGCTAAAGCCAAAAAATGCACTCTAAATTCATTGCAATAATATTTTTGTGTAACATTAAGTTCTTGTTTTATGTTTCCTAGTAAATTTTTTAGTTACTACTTAATTGAGATTTACTAATGTAAGTATAATTTTCTTTTTTCTATTTGTATAAATTGTTATTTTTTAAATATCAAAGCATGATATTAATTCTTCGTGTTCGTCTGAATTTTTATCTTTAGAGGTTGGCAGGTATGCATATAAGTAAACTTTATGACACTTTAAATAAGAACAAAAAGGAAAACAATTAAAAAAAAATTTTTTTTCTTGGTTTTACTTTTACTATGCTAAAGGCCCGTTTCCACTGCTGCGTATGTGTTACAATGCCTATGCGTTTCTCCAATCAGCGAGCGAATTCACTTTGATTGACATCTGAAATCCAGTCGATGTGCGGTGATGGATGAAGTTCAACTATGTTCAACTTCTATCCGTATGTCTGCGGATGCGTTGGGGTCACATGGTAAAAAAGGAGCAATCAGATGTTGTCACTAAAAGTTAATGGCGGCAGAAGTAGCGATGAAGGCTGGCTTAGGGAAAGAATGTTTTGCTAAAAAATACTTATTTCTAAATTAACATTATAGTGAGAAATCTGCGTACTGAGAAAGCAGCAATAAGCTGAACTTAGTTAAAAAGATAAGAAAAATAAGATAACTGCAACTACAGTACTAGTTCGCAGGGAGCAGTGATTACTATAAAAAAAATCAGGCGCAAAAAATATAATTTTAAGTCCATGAAATAGCAAAATTTGTCCTGACAATTATTTCCTAATTTCATTAAAGGTAAATGTGTACATTTACCTTTAATGAAAATAAAAGTCTGACTATATCAAACTGCTATAGCAAATCAGATACGGCATTAAAAGATTTGTTATTTTTTTTCTTTTGAAACAGGTAAAAATTAAAAACGTTAATTATAAATTAAATTTGATAGATTTTAAATATTCCACTGCATTAAACGGTATGTTAAATTTGTATTTCTCTATTTATAAATATACCTTTATGGCTAATATATATTTGTAAGCACATGAAATATATTTTTAGCAGCCCATTTAACTTCAACCAGAACACCACTTGAAAAGATAATGTAAGAAATGTCCTAGAAGCTGAAGAACAAATTCTGGTGAATCTTTTAGACGATAGTACACTAAAATAGGACCAAAAAATTTAGTTTTAAGAATTCATTTACTTAATAATGTGCATAAGCCAAAATTGAGTATCATGCCTGTATGATGATAGCTTAGTGGTAAAGTTGGCGGTAGCATGGCTTAACTTTTGGGGTCGCTTTCTCCCCCCTGTCTGCAACTTTCTTAGCTTCTTGTTCCAATTTGATCTATATTTGTGTTTTATAATTTATTTCTATTATTATATGCATTAAATATAATGTTTTATTTATGCTCTTATTTGTTTAAATTTTTTCTGCAAAAAATTTATTTTGAAATTTATATAATACGAATTTAAAGCATACTCCCTGTACATATATATATATATTTGTTTCACTTTTATATGAATGTACATACATGTGTGAAATTTTGGGATCTTTCCAACTCTAAACTTTCACTACCAATTAACATGAGACAATATTAATGCCCTAAACATTTTAAAAAAACTTATTATAATAATTGCTTTTGAATTCAGTCCTCTCCAGCAGAAAAGCAGGAATTAATTAATTAAATATTTCTATTTTCTTTACCTAATGTGTATATACATATATAAAGAGAAAAAGCTTATTTTTGTAACTTCTATGAAAAGAGATATGAATTAAAAAATTTAAATTAAAAGTAATATTTTATGGATTATGTATAAAATAGAACTGCTCATATTGCATTTTAAAACAAATGAGATTTATAATAAATTATCCAGCAATGATCCTGAAGAAATCGATGCTGAAACTTTATATTACTTTTTTCTCCTAAAATTTGGGCATATTTTAAAAATATACAATCTCACATGGCAATCAGTGGTATAAATAAGCATAGTCCAAATCCCGTAAGTTATATACAGAGACATCTGATGGCAATAAATGCAATAGACCACCAAAATTTCGTATGCGTAAATCCAACGACACTATGCGTTCGCAACGCACTAATGGAAACAAGGCTTAACACATGCCTTGTAAATTACAAATTATATTACCTAAATGGAAACCAAGTATGTAGCATTCAAGGACAAATAATTACAAATGAAATCAAATCTAATGTACAATTAAAAAAAATTGGTAGTACAATCACCTTAGTAGAACGTTACTACATCTTCAGAATGTGGAAAATTTTGGCATTGAAGAATTGCATGGTTGCTTCAATTTTAATAAACACTGTCATGTTTGTTTGCATTCTTTTTCTGATATTTCAAATTTAATAGTTTCTACAGCAAATTGAGACACCTTTTATCTTAACCTCAATTTCAAAGTATGAATTTGTCTAAAATGGATGAAATTGCAGTAAAAATTCCACAGAAATACAATATTTTGATGCAAAGTGGGTAAAGGGAACAACTACTTTTGAATCTATTGCCATAGTTTGCATGGAATAGATTTTCACATCCATGCAAAAAAAAAAAAAAAAAAAAAAAAAAAATAAATAAAAAATAAAATAAAATAAAATAAAGCAGGTTTATTGATTAATTTTTAAGAATAACTCTAAAACAGAAATCTTTGTAATAGTAAAATTGTTTTCCCCCTCAAATCATAAGAAAGCATTCTTTTTTTCAGCAAAAAATTGGCAAACTGCCCCAAGGTGAATTTTTATTTTCTGCCAAGGTGAATTTGATGTACTTTTGAAATAACACATAAGCACCAAGGTGTATTTCATGTACTTTTGGTATAATACATAAGCGCCATCTTATGAGAATATGGGACTTGACAGTAAAATAATTCTTATCAAGAAACATAAATATTCTTATACATTTTGCCTTTAAACATGCTACTTCGAAATTAAGTACTTGAAAATTTATGAAAACTCATTATGAATTTACTTACTGTTTTGAGCAAGCTCTAAAGCAATGAATTCAATTTTATCCCACTGAGTTGAATTTTGTGGAGGTGGGGCTTTGAATCGAATGAAAGCTCTGTAAAAAGTATATTAATCAGAATTTAAAAAAAAAAAAAAAAAAAATTACAAAAGTAGCTTTAAAAAAAAAGAGTAATAATCATCAGCATAGTTTTACCCTGCTAACAGCAATGCTGAAACAACCAAAAGAAAAACTAAAGTATATGCTATGGCAGCAGGAACTACCTAAAGTAGGAAATAAAAAAAGAATACATAAGAATCTTAGTTACAATTAAAAACTTAAAAATTGCATTTGTAATAAATGAAATGAATTTAATACTTTATTTTCTATCAATTTTTATGATACTAATGTACTTTCAGTTAAATATTTCAGATGATAATAGAAATCTTTTTGAGAAAACAATAAATTTTATCATTAAAATTTATTTGCTTTTCAGGGTTCATACGCATTTCTGCACACGGAAATTAAGTACTTTTAAGGACATTTAAGGACCATTAATGAAAAAAATTAAGGACCTATGAGCAAATGGGAACTGAATAAATTCAATTAAAAATATTATCTATGCCTGAATTTCACTTTTGTAACACCATCCTAAAAATAAGATCCCTAAGTAGTATGCATTATTATTAAACATGAATTAATGAACATAACTATTAACAAGTTTGAGAATAAAATAAACTTTATGCAATTTATCAAGTAGCATTAAATATTTTACATTTATATTAGTTGGTCATATTTGAAAGAATATGACCAACATTTACGTTTTACTAACAGTTAGCTTTATAATGATTTTTTTTTATGTCTCATTTTCTCACGTAAAATGAGAAGTAAGTTCACAATCAGCATGATTCATAACAAAAGATTGAATGTTGTCACTGATACTTCTTGTCTAGAGAGACCTGCTGATTAGAACAAAACTGAATGGCCTGATGTAGGCACGGTTGGCAAATGTTGAAAGTTAGTTAGGCTCTGTTTGATGCAGTTAATGTCGTAGCTTCGTGTAGAGTTCGAGGGGTTGTAACCCAGATAATATACTTTAAGGTTCCAATAAGGCATTAAAGCACCAGAGGTGATAAGTTGTTTTGTATTATTTTAAGTCTCAGTAGATGCAAAGAATAAATTGTACTTGAATTTTTACATTTTTGTATTTTATCTTGTGACCACAGTGAGTATTAATGAATGACAATAACATATAGAGATAATTTTTAAAGGTAAGCAGTTAATTATAAATAATTAAATTAGGTAGTTTGATAACCTTATCAGGTTCAATGTTCCGTCTTACTTTCTTCGGGAACATGCAAGGACCTGACTCGGAACAGAGAGTTTACTAAAGCTATGTTCAATAACTGTGGGAAGTAGACAGGATACACAAGAAGGGTATACAAAACCCTTTATTTTTCTCTATTTACAATAACTTCCGTACTTCGGAATACAAAGACCCACTACTTGTGGTCTAAACGTAAAAATATAAAAATAAAACTAAACTCTAATTTAACTTTAAAATAATAAACGTGGAAGATTGGCCTTATATTAACAGGAAGCCGTATGTAGTACAGAGAACTGTGAACACTACAATACGTTTAAAAATTATCAAGAGGATTAAACCTCTGGCCTGGAAGGCAACCAGCAACTGAGTAAAACTTCTAAGGTAAGCGGCCTGCTTCGACTAACTGCTTCCTCTCTCTCGCTTGGCAAAAAGCCACAACTTAAATACTTGGCGTTCGCCAGACAAACTTTGCATAAATATATTAACGCTTATAATTCTGGCCGGAAGTAGAAAATAAGAAGTGATAGTAAAGATTTAAAAATAAAATAAACGTTAGTAAAAACTTAAGATCCTTACATACTTCCCGCCAGAGTTAATTAGTTTGAAACTGAGGTCTAAAACGACCTTGTTGAAAACTTTTAGCTCTAGAATCTAACGCGAGGCCAATCTTTTACAAACATTTTTCGCTAGAAACTAGAAATTTAAAAGAAAGAAATTTGTTTTTACAATAGCAGCTCCCAGGACATGCAATTTTTCATCTGTACTGCATCTAAACAGGAGCTTTTATTCAAATCTGGTTCCTTCCAGAGATCTGGAAGGAAAACTAGTTTAATGAAATGTTACACAATGAAATGGCAAGTAACATGTATAATTATATTTCTCTTAACATTCTTATTTCATTCATGACTATTTTAATTATCTCTCCCCGTGCTCTCTGACATGTGTTGTAAAAGAACACCAAACACGAATGTGTTTATGTCTACGTGTTCAACACTTCCTCCTACAATCAAAGCACTAACGTGTTAAAATTCAACATTACCAAGACCTCGTAACACACCCTAACTTCAACTCTAAACCCTGAGGTACTATTCTGAAAGTGGCTAACTCTGAAGTGTAGCGTCAGAGAGCCTAACTACATTCATTCAACCTTTAACACATATTCATCATAATTTAGTCTTTTTACAGTCACACGAATAAAAAAAATTTTTAACATTACTTTCACTTTTACCATATCACAGTATTTCTTAACATTTAAAATAACAGTTCACATTGTATATAAGAACATATTAACATGCCGTTAATTTTATGCATTTGAAAACATACATTAGTAGTACATTGTTAACTTCTATTCTTTTCTAAGCAAGTGCCAATTCTTCTACATTGAAATAATACATTTCAAAAAGTCTTTCAGACTAAAACTTCTTTCTTGCCAGAATGTTTTAAATAAAATTTATACAATAACTTTTACAATATTTAAGTATTTACACATTGCTATTATACATCAACTTTAGTTTTACGCGCGAGTAATTGAAAAACATAATACCAAAATCGGTAACAACTCATTTCTCGCCCTTTTGGCGATAAAGGTAGACCTCGCATGAGGTAAAACTTCTTGAAATCTGCCACTTGCAGTAAGAATGAAAGATTAACTTAAGTTTGCAAAGTAACATAAAATTTTACTTATCTTTGTGATATTCGGACATTCTTTTCTGAGCCCAGTCTTGGAAGGTAGCGTAGATTCTTGTTTGATATATCCTCCTTCGTGTGCGGGCTCGCCCTTCAGTGCCTTCCTCTAGAAGCTTTCTTTTTTTTCCAGTTCGGTCACCCTTGAATAGCTTCTTTTTTGCCTCTGCCTGTGGTCTTGGCAGAATCGGGAAACTTCTTTCATGTTCCTGCTTGGACCTTATTGCTGGCCATTCAAATTTTCCTCCGCCCCTGGTGGCCCTTCCGCAGTTCGGCGACATTTGCTGCAAGAGAGTCCTGTCGGATGAGTAGATCTTCCGTTTTAGAGCCGGGTTATAGTTGCCGTCATTTCTCCTGGCTCTCTTTGCATACGTCGTCCTTCTCCCTTCTTCATTCTGGGGGTGTTCGTGAGCTCTCTTTTCTGGACGGTGGAACGGCTTCTTTTTCTTGCTACCTTCAATTTTCCCGCGGGAAAACTTTCTTTTCACTTGCTCCTGCCTCTTAATGGCTTGCCCTTGTACTTGTCGTTGTTCCACCTCTGGAGCTTGTGCCTGTGGTTTCTGCCGTGCCGGATCCTGCAAAAGATCTTTGAAAATTTGCATTTTATTACGATCATAGTAGGGTTTGATTTGATCAATGTTTGCGGAGCAGGTTTCACCATTTCTAGCTTTTAACACTACTACAGCGTGAGTTATTTTTTCTATGACATATAGTCCTTCAAAGCGTGGAAAAAATTTGGCAGTTTTATCTTCTGCTGCTGAAGAAAGTGAATGCTTAATTTTTAATACTTCATCCCCTACTTTATAAGTAACTCCCCGTCGTTTCAAGTCGTAATACAGCTTTTGCTTTCTCTGTGCTACTTCCATATTCTTTTTTGCTTCTTTAATTAGTTTTTCTATATCACCCATTTTAAATTCTGGGGCTCTTTGTTGCACATAAAATAATTTATCTAACGGCGTTATAATCTTTCTGCCTAAAAATAACTCAGCAGGAGTTTTGCCCGTTGTATCATGTTTTGCGGTCCTAAGGGCGAAAGCAAATTCATTGACATAGTTATCCCAGCTTTTATGAAAATTTTTAACATAACTACGGATAATTTTCACTGTATTTCTATTGACCCGTTCCGCTATATTTGATTGCGGCCGATACGGGACCATTTTTAAATGACGTATGCCCAGTTTTTGGCACATGTCTTCAAATACATTACTTACAAATTGAGGACCATTATCCGATATAACTTTTAGGGGTGCCCCGTATTTTAAAATATATTTATTTAAAATAGAATCAGTAACTAATTTCGCGGAGGCTCGTTTTAAGGGAACAATTTCGGACCACTTACTAAAATGATCAACCATAACAAGGAGATAGCGACTTTTATTTAACTGACTTTTTGGGAAAGGGCCCAATAAATCGATGCCAATTATTTCATTTGGAAATTCGGATTTAATACTATTTAGAAACCCGGCCGGGTGGAAATTAATATAATTAACTGCTTGACATGTTGGGCAGGACTGGACATACGCCCTTGTTAACTTTTGCAGTTCAGGAAAATAGACTGCCTCGCGTACGCGTTGGATAGTTTTTCGAATACCAGCATGAGAAGCTAAAGGGCTGTCATGGAGCTCCTGCAGGATATTTAATCTAAGACTAGCTGGGATAACAGGTCGAAATTCGTTGTTGGAATTCGTAGTTTTTGTATAAATAATAGACCATCTATTAGTTCGTAATGGGCCGCCCTATTTCTTATCGCCACAATATCTTGGTGGCTAAAATTTTCAGGATCCTTTAAATACTCATAAATGCTTCCAAACTCAGGATCCTTACCCAGTTCGGTTATTACAGTTTCTCGGGAATTTATTGTACATGCTGTGAGCATTGCCACCTTTACGGTATTACCTTCTTCATCTATTTTAATTCTGGATAGGGCATCTGCTACGATATTTTCCTTTCCGGGGGTATGCTTGATTACCAGATTATATTCTTGTAGCTTGAGTGCCCATCTTATTAACCTTGGGGATAAGTTTTCCCCTGAGTACAATCTAGTTACCGCCGCATGATCAGAGTACACTGTTATTGGCGCCTTTCCAAAATAGACTCGGAACTTTTGCACTGCTAACAGAACTGCAAGTGCCTCTCTCTCGGTCGCGGAATAGTTTCTTTGTGTTTGATTTAAAGTTCGGCTAAAAAATGCCATGGGCTGCTGATTTTGCGAAAGTACCGCTCCTACCGCATAATCCGAAGCATCCGCTGAAATTTCTAAATTCTCATCCTTTT